TGCGTCGTCGTGACAAGCTCCTTAAATAAGACATCATCTGGAAGGCCCAAAAGCTCCTTCACCATGCGGAGATGCATCTCAACATTCTGTGCGTTGATGTCTATACAACATTCATCATCATTAAGCGCCTTAAATTGCAAAGAGAGCAAGTGTAAGACAGCCCCTACTGTATTCCAAACGGCATTACATTCCGCTTCACTCATGCCAACAAACTCCATTGCACGCATCACCTCCTCAAAGTCATCAGCGTCATTTACTCCCTCAATTATTGTGGCATTACCAACAGCGGTGCAGCGATAATCCTCCGCGCGGGTTAGTTGCAAATGACTGAGACGATGATGTTTAGCCGCCTCACCATTACTAGCAAGTAATTGATAGAAACTGTGGTACCCTCTCTCTCCTTTGCCATGCGTGACAACACGGGAACGCTCAAGGAGGTATACCTTGATGGACGCTCCTGTCATCACCCCGCCGGTTGGCGATTGCCTGAAAAAAACCTTCATGAACTTACCAAAGCGTGAACTGTTGTCATTTCGCCTGGTTTTTGCGTTGCCAAATGCCTCCAGGATGGGAGAAGTGAGATTCACCTTTTTGGTAATCTCCTCCGCTCCGGATTTCTCCTGCGAACCACACTGTGCCGTAGATACAACCCCAATATACTTTAAAACAATTTTGGCTGTTTCCGTCTTTCCAGCTCCGCTTTCACCGCTGACAGTAATACTTTGATTAAGTCCATCGGTGCACATGCGCCAGTAGCTGTAATGCGCCACGGTCCAGGCATGGGGTAAATTTTTGGATGGCGCCACAATCACCTTCGATCCCTCCATAACATACTTTGGCATGTTATCATCCGTGTAATTGGGCAAAGTATAGTCGTATGGATTTAAAGCCAGTGCAATGGGGCCAATGTGTGTGTAAATAAGATTTTCGTAATATCGAACGCGTACCTGCTCAAGAAGTGTTGCGTCATGAAGGTACGAAAGCTCCAGAAGGTCATTCAGAGTCGTGTGCTCCGTGGGTTCAACGCAAGACTCGATAATGTGATGGATATCTTGCTTCTTCAGTGGGTAAACATGGACCAACGACGGAGTCTCACTCAGTGACGGAAGATATCGATCTGACGTAACGGCACTGCATCCATACAGTATATGCGTAAAACCATCTCGCTTCGTCACACGTTTGATGATGTTTAAAGTCCCGCGAATCCAACACTCAGTTGGATGATTAAAATAGACTGCATCGCCCACACAATAGCCATCGTGGGATGTTACAGAAACCTCCGCCATTGTTCCTTCAACCTTACCGACTTTATTCCCACCCTGTCACCAGACTTTTGGCACTTCCTCTTCTTTTACTCTTTTTTTTTTGTTTTGTTTTGTTTTCTTTTTTAAGTTGTCTCGCGTGATGAAGCTAAAAGTCCTTCCAGTTGTTACTGTTAGCGTGCGTCAATAAAATATATATTCATAACGCATATAAATAATTGTATAGGCATTCATGTGTGCAGGTACAGTAAATGCAACATAAAAGAAAAAAAAAAAGGGAATAAAGAAGGAGCATACACACACACACAAAAGAAAGAAGAAAAAAAAAACGTATTTCCATCTAACGCGGTAGTGCATGAAACTCAACAAAACGAGAAATTCATCAAACTACTCGTCATGACGCCATTACTTCTCAACACAACTCCCCGGAAAAGTAAACACCACGCACAAGCAAAAAACAACAACAACAAGAAGCCTCTCTTTTTTTTTTTTTTTCCTTGTATGCCTGTGTTTAATTGTCATTCTTGTTGTTGTTTTCCCTCCTCCGTGATACCCGATTCAAACGCGTCCCGCTGATCTTTTCAAAAGATCCGCCGTGTTGTAGGAGTGCCACGGCAGCAATGTTCCGGTTCCTGGCTGGTTCAGATGCCATTTCTGGTGGTGCTTCACCATTTCATACTCCCCAACGGTGGCTGGGAAGTCACGCTCGGTTGGTGGTCGCACGTAATGTGAATAGCGCCGCCCCGCCTCAGGGTGAGCGTATTTGCCCTCGTCCTCGTACCATCGTACAAGCCATCCCCGTTTGGCTGGGTTCGTTGCGAGCCCTTCCAGGCCCTTCCGTTCTGGGAATTCCTGCTCAGGAAACACGGGATACTCTTCCGGGTGAAGCTCCTGGTAGAGGCCATCATGAGTCATATAGACACCGGTAAAAGAACCACCAGCCTCTTCAATGAGCCGAATACTCTCCGCGGATGCATTTTGAAGCTCAATGTGAATAGGGTATGGCACACGGCTCACTCCACTACTGATAAGAACAAATCCTGGCCACACAATCTCACCTTCCGCTACGACACCGGCCTCGTGAAGGTGGTAGACTGTAATGACCTCATTGGGATTCAGACGCCCGGTATCAATCGCCCAGAGGAGTTTACTGAGCTTGAGGCGTGAAAACACCAGTTTTCCCTCATATCGATTTCGTGGGCCCCCCGGTGAAACTCGAGGAGCAAGCATAAACCGTGGAGTCATCTTGCGCTCTTGCCACTGCCCACGGGCAAACACTCTGCGTCTATCGTTGTACCCGCGGGAGTACTTCCAACTTCCTCCTATTTTCATCCACCCCATCTTAATCATATTATGGCCGCTACGCATCCCCACATATTCTGGTGTTGGGGTCAAATCCCTGACAGACTGTGTGATCTGTGGGTTAAGGTACTGATCCCAGTGAGACCATTTGTGTTGCGTCGTCCTTTCATTCAGTCGCGAAGCAACAACAGGGAGTGGATGGTCCTCATCAAATTCTTTTCTCCCAGAAAAATCCTGCCAATTGCTTCGTGGCTTTGCTAAAAGGTTGTTACTGTTGATAAGAGGAAACATCGACTTGGCCGGGTTCATGTGTAACGGGATATTCTCCCGACAGGGATGAAAAAGACGATAGCGCTGCAGAAGCGGCGTTGGTGAGAGCATTTCTCTACTTTTCCCTTTCTTATTAGCGTCCCTCTATGTGATTGGTGTATTAATCCCTTCAATTTGCGTTTAAAGTGCCTGCTGTGTCTCCCTGATCCCTCCTGTACCGGCCAACCAAACACCTCCCAGTAATTATTTCCTTCGCTTGTCCACCACCAGAGAGAACAAGACTAAGTGCAGGGAAGAAAGCAAAAAAAAAAAAAAAAAATCCAATGCGAAAAATATAAGCCCGCCTCATATCAATTATATATATAGAGAGAGAAAGAGAAAGACAGAGAATAGAAAACAGCAAGGGTGAATCTCTCTCGCAACACTCACTGGAGAACAACATCCGTCAATTCTTCCAATATGAATTCCCATCCATCCTTCGTTGTTTACTATTTTTCCCCTTCTTCTTCTTCGCATGGGGCTCCTTGAGAGTGTTGTTGTTCTCCTCTATTTACCCCATCATTTCCCTCTTTTTCTTTTTCTTACATCTATTACATAATCTCCAGCGGAAAACCTAAAAGATGCCGCCAACAATTTCATCCACCTCCCACACCCACCCGGACGGTACTTCACACCGCAACATATCGTGCATCCACCTGCTCAAAAATCTCCTGCGAGACAACATCCACCGGACGATTGCCGTCAATTCGAACAAAAACGGGCTCATAGCATTCGATCAGTTCGTCCTTTCTCGCGTCAAAATATTTCCATCGGCTTACCACAGCCGCGAGGGAGTCGTCATCTTCGAACATGCGCTCCACAGCCATTCCTTCTGGGGGAGGGCAAAACTCCATGTGGTAAACATTCTGTGTAATTGGATCATACCGGCGTCCATTGCACCGTTGAACCGCCACCTCATACGGTAAATCCAGCAGAATAAAGAAAAGAGGTGAAATGCCCGCTGTTTGCAAACGAAGTGCCTCGGAACGTGTCCGCGGGAAGCCGTTCAGCACCCAACCGTTACTATTCGCATCCTCCATCTTCAGGCGACGTATAATTAATTCAGATGCAACATCATGTGGCACCGGTATGCCTTCCCGCATGCAATTCGCTACCTTTTCGCCCTCTTTTGTTTCTTTTGACATTTCCTCACGGAAGACATCGTCGGCGTTGACGACCACCGCACCGTACTTTTGCGCGATGCGTCGGGACTGCGTACGTTTTCCAGCGCCGGATGGTCCAAGAACCATCAACCGCAGCGTCGTCTTTCTATCGAGCGCATGCAGCAGGAATTGCAGCGGGTCATCCGGCAGGTGCACCATGACATCGTGAAAAAGTTCCTCCAGAAGTGTGTTTATGTGCTTCTCCTCAAAATAGGCGGCGGATCCCGCCGAGAGCTCACCCGTTGACATCCCCACCCGCCCACCGCTGACCTCCTTCTTCCTCCTATCGGTGTGCAACAACCTCCCACGAAGCAAACAATACGCAACAACAGAAATAATATATACAAAAAAAAAAAAAAAGAGCCATTCGGTTTCTTGTGTCCACAAAAAAAAAAAAAAGAAATAATAATAATAATAGGGGCAATTGGCCATACAGAGCCAATAACCTGTTGTTGTTTTTTCTTGTATTTATTTGACGATTTCTTCTTCCTTTTTTTGTTCACCTGCACCTCTTCCACCCTTTCACTTTGTGAGTATTACTTCAGCTCAAATTCAATGGTGTAGCAGCGCCGTAAAGTGCCTGTCGCGACGAGCCGCACCTCAGCGTCGAGTGTTGCGTCGGAGTTTGTGAATGCAACAAGCCGCTCCGCCCGCACTGTGGCTGGCAGCAGAACGGTTGTCTGCTTCCAGTGAGTGGGCGGATGAAAAGGCGACGTATTTAACGTCCACTCACGGAAGCTCACATCAAACCACAGCGTGAACCCATCCACCACCACCTCCTGCGTACAGTCAACGCCAAAGTGTCGTTGAAATGCCGTGGAGTTGCACAAGCTGAAATGAACGGTACGGCACAAAGACGTCATCGCATCCTCCGCAATGGAAGAAAGTTCCACCTCCGCCAGGACCACACCCTCATGCAGGAGACACGAGGCCGGGATAGTGTCAATGAGGGGATTCGACGTCTCTAGTTGCATCTCACACTCCAGAGTGCCGTAGCGGCTAAAGTCGACACCTTCAAGGCCGCTCCAAAACCTGCAATAGCGCTCCTCGCAGTAGGGAGCACAAGACATAGGCGCGACACGTATCGTTGCGCGTTCGGGGATCATTTCAATGCGGCGGCAAACCCCCAGCTTTGCATTGACCTCCCCAAAGAAGTTCCTCGCGCGGATCACAGATGGCAACATGCCTTCATGCAGAAGGTAAAATCCCATCCACTCCGATACGATGACCGCCACCCCGCAGCCTTTCAACACCGCCTCGTGAGTAGCAATAAAGCTCACAACACCACCCGCAACAATATTCTCCACCGTTTCAGACAACAACGTAATTTTGTCCGACAGATGATTGTCATCAATGACGCGTGCCTGAAAAAAGCTCAACGAGGACGCCTCAATGGAGAAGACATGCTTTGCTCCTGCACGGGCCGCCCAAATGGAGAAAATCCCTGTCCCGGACCCCACATCCACGACCACACGGTCCTGGACAACCGTCTCGCAAGTGACCGCTTGACGATAAAAAGACATGCGTGGTGCGTCGGAAAGCATTACGCGGTGCACGCCAAGGTCGGCGTAGGCATCATAGTACTGCTCCTGCGCCGACTCGTGTGGGTTATAGTCCTCCGCAAACTGCTGCAAGGGCATGAACCGCTTCCACAAAAACATAAATAATCATGTCATGGGCATTGAACGAAAAGAAAAAGAAAAACATAAATAAATAAAATAAAATAAAAGCATGTCACCCCTCGTGTAGATCCCAATTCTCACAGACCCTCTCCTTTATCCCTTTCTCTTTCTCTCTCTCTATTTGTTTTTTTTCGTCTTTCTATAAAAATTAATTAATTAATTAAACGCAATTAAAACCGTCAATATAGTGAAGGCAAAAAAGGAACCACCATCAACAAAGCACCCATGCTCCATTGAAAAGTTATAGTTGGTAAAGTTCTGCAACCCCACTGGAGAGCTTGCGCACGCGTTGAAAAAGCTCGCAGGCCAACATGGCATTTCCGTTGCTCTCCGCCACACGTGCTTGCTCATATAAATCAAACGCCTTCTTGTCATTCTCCGTCGTCAAAATCGGTGGGTCACGACGGTAGAGAAAATCGCCACGAAGAATGTACTTGCAACACCCCTCCCCCACCGGTGTACCCTCGTGAAGCACATCACAAAAAAAGAACGCGGCAGAACCCTTTTTGGGATAAACGGCGCCAACGCGTTTCTCCTTTTTGCCCACATACTTGCCAGTTTGTGGATC